AATGTATTTTTCTTATTATTATTTTTTTTTTCTTCCATGTTCGACCTTCGCTTCAATCAGATTTTATAGATCTGTGGTGTTATATGTTCGTTTTTTTTTTCTTATTACACTATTATCTTGTATTTTAGTTTGGGCATAATATAGAATTGTAGTAAAAAAAATTCTGCACATTTGTATTGACCGAAAAAATGAAAAATATTGGTAATATATTAACCAATATTGATTGATGATAATTATGAATTGAATTCTGTTAGATATTCAAGCGCGTGAAATTTGCAATGCAACAACAATTATGCAATCCCATTAGTTATCCAACTCCAGTAATTATGTAACGTGGCAACAAAAAAAAACTCAAATTTTTTGAAAATTTTCCACAATTATAAAGTCAACGTGTTGACTGTTTTTCTTAGCTTTCCAAAAATAAATTTTTCAACAACCTTTTTATATAGATATAGATATAGATATAGATATAGATATAGATATAGATATAGATATAGATATATATTATCAATATAAATAGATAATATAACTAGATAATATCAAGTAATTGTTTTTACACATTAAATCCAGCGTTTTAAATACTACCGGTCTAGCCGTCGGTATGCGGTATTACTACTCGGACCAATAATATTGGTGGTATTGTTCATGTGTGATTTTACACCATATTCATATAGTATCTAGAGCTTAATTGTTGCATTATTGGTGTATAAATTGCACATTTGTGCTTTTATTTTATATTTGGTGGAAAGGTATTACGCGTGCTTGTTTTGTAGATATTTTCACATATTTGTAGAGCTTGTGGCTATTGGAGGAGCATGGTGAGTGCCTAAGACTCCGGGGATGATGATAGATCGATGCACGGATGAGAAAAATGGAAGAAACGAGCAAAACGGACAAAAACGTGCATGCTGGGGTGTGACACGGGCTGTGACACGACCAACTAGCCCGTGTCGGAGGCCATGTCACCTCGCCAGGTACCTGACACGACCTGTGACACGGGCGTGTCAGGTCGTGTCGCGACGCGGGCAGTTTTTAATCGCTTACCTTTTTCGCTTAGGAGAGGACTTTTGGACATATAAAAAGACCT